TCCCGACACAGGGGACCCAATTTAGCACCTACCCGAACTTTCATTTCTACCTTTTGTTTTAACCCCTTTCTCCAAGAGAATACTTTGGTCGCTCCTCATTTTTCTATTCAAGGAAGGTGCTGAGGGCTGGTGTACGGCAGGATGGGACAGTCTGTTGTGCTAGAAGTAAAGCAAAGAAAAAATGTCGCACATCACATTCATGCAAACAGACGATATGTATTACGAGCTGAAGTAAAGCTGCCACAAGTATAAATTAAGTGCGAGTTCGCTTCCAAAAGGCGGCTAGCCTGATCGCAGTGCAGCAGAACCAGAACGACACCAATTATCCTAAAAAAGTAGTGCCTAAAGCTGTAACGTACCTTACGATATATAGCTAATACAATTCTGCTGTATTATAGCGACTTTGTGTACTTTAATTGCATTTATAATGAACAACTAGATGACAGTGGACACGGTCTGGAGACCACTAGCGTTAGCAAGTTACTACATCCATAAGAAATATGAATCTTCCTTTATACTTTTTAACTTACTTGAACATTGTGGAGTATCCTCCATACAAGTTTCTTGAAGCCTCTTGCCACAATTACTGCAAAAATTTGGTGACGGCTCAACCACCTCCTTTCCACAGTTCGGGCAATACATGGCGAAGTGACTGTATTCCCGCTTCCTTAGTTTTCAATCAAACGAAGCACTCCAGCATAACTTCCGGTTCAAAAGTAAAACGACCTGTCGTCCAATCAGCGACTTCTTAGGTCTCCCACTGGGACCTACCTCTTCCGTTGTGTTTCCTTAATGTTGTAGTGCTTTCGTTAATGTTGTTGTGTTTTTGTTAATGTTGTCGTGTTTTCGTTAATGTTGTTGTGTTTTTGTTAATGTTGTTGTGTTTTGTTAATGTTGTTGTGTTTTCGTTAATGTTGTTGTGTTTTCGTTAATGTTGTTGTGTTTTCGTTAATGTTGTTGTGTTTTCGTTAATGTTGTCGTGTTTTCATTAATGTTGTCGTGTTTCCGTTAATGTTGTTGTGTTTTTGTTAATGTTGTTGTGTTTTGTTAATGTTGTTGTGTTTTTGTTAATGTTGTTGTGTTTTCGTTAATGTTGTTGTGTTTTCGTTAATGTTGTAGTGTTTTGCACCTCAGGGCCACCGTACATGCGAGATATCTTTGTCTCAATAGGTAATGTCTCAACAAAATGGATAGAAATTATGTGGGTACCCCAAGGTTCAATCCTAGGACCCCTCTCTTGGTGTGTTTACACTAAGCACGTTTTGAGCGTCAGGCGCATCTGGTTTACATTTAAAGTCTATGTGGAGCATTGAACGCATTGAACGCACTTGACGTGTCAAACACTCAAAGCGCTCCAAATGGTTCGTATTGCACTTGTTAGGGGCTCTAAACGCGCCTAAACTGCTGAAATGTGTTATACGATTAAACTTGATTGACTAATAGCTTGAAGTAAAACAGATTTATAACAATCTAAAATAAAATCTGTTTGCAGGAATTTATCAACAATCACACCAAACAATAGGATTCTGATAAGCATGGATACTGGATAGGGTTACATCATTTTCAATGCAATTGGTCCTGGGTTGAAGGACGTAGGATCGTTCTTGAGTAAGAACTATTATCTAAAAATATGTATATTTGAAGCTGCACTTTGTAACTTTTCTAGAAAATATCTTTTACATATTTGTTGAAGCTATTGCCATGTCCTATCAGTATGGCATCATGTAGATAATACATAAAAAATTGATCTCCTCTGCCTTCTCCCAATGCTCTGAGTGCCAACTAGAAACGACCAATCAGAAGCTGGAGGCGGGTCTTATCGCTGTCAGTCACAATCAAGTGTGGCAACGCTCCTCCCCCTGATAAATTTTAATAAAATATTGTCACAGGGACGTCACCATATTGTAAATGCTGCTATGTATTCTGGGTAAATGATGTCCAAATGTGCTAGCTCTGTCCAGCCAAACACTGATGAATAATGTCATTGAGCGTGTTGAAGTCAGTGGGAATATAGAAATCACAAGATGTAAAGAGGATGAGGAGAACCAAACACAGGAAGAGGACGGTGGAGATTAGAGGAGCTGCTGGTGTTTTGCTGCTGCCTTTAGCTTCATAAACAATGAATGACACATACCTCTGACCTCTGGTCAGACTGTGTGTTATGGAAAGTAGTTCTGTGTCCAGACCAGTAACAGTTGTTTTAGTTTGGCTTCTCATGGTCAGATTGGTGGTTTATATTCAGCTCTGTTAGCATTTCAGAGCTTCCAGCTCCACATATCTAAGCACAGCATTTATTCTTAGCTTGCGAAGGTAAGGATCACCTGTTAGAGCCTTTGTTAGTTTTGCTCTTACAAATGACTCAAAGTCTTCTGGAGAGAAATGTTGAGAGCACAAACTTCAGAAGTTGTGTTCAGGTCCAGCTCTCTCCCTCAGCGCTCTTCTTTTTTTTCATGTGGGAATTTATCCAGATTCACTTTTTAAATTATAACTGATAGTGACACAGTGTGGCATTATGTAAAATTACACCAGTCAAATACAATATGATAAACAACGACTCAGGGAAAGTTAGCCTTCCTGTGTTTACATTCTGTACTGTGGATTTCAGTACAGAACTGACCAAAATGCATCATCAACCCATTGGGTGAAAACATGGCCTGCATGGGTGGAAAATATATATTTTGAAGTTGTTATCAGCTTTGGCATATCACAAACAGCAATTATTCAGTTAATAGAAAAATTACAACATATGAAGGCCAACATGTTCAACTAATTCTGGGTCGCTTTAAGTAAAAATGTAAATATATTTTCCACAAGCTTGTAGAAGAGTTAAATATACTGAGTGACGACTCCAGGACTTCTTCTAAAACCGAACCGTGGTGGCCTACACCAATCCCAACAGGACTGGTTAAGTCTGGGGTGACCAAGATTAAACCCCTGATTTGCAAACACATGCTAAAAGAGAAGACGTCTGTTCAGATGGAAGAATAATTTTCAGACTTTATCAATGGAGGTAGGACTTTATGTTGAATTTAAATAAAATATTTTGGTTTATTTAAATGTTTTACTTTTGTAGTTTGTTTCATTTATGGGGTTGAGTAATTTCAGATTCAACTGTAAGATGACAGATATTTAGGGTGCGGTGGTGGCGCAGGAGTGAAGTGCTCAACCCGCGAACCGACGCCTCAGTCTACACAGCTATCACAGGTTTGAGTCCCGACCTGTTGACCTTTTCTCTTTCCTGCGGACTCGAAGTCAAATAAAGATCACTAGAGCCAAGAAAGTCCTTTCAAAGAATGTGATCTGTAAAATCCAATCTTCCAAGTTTGTAAAACGACTTTCATTTACTGCAAGTCTGACTCCTTTTCAAACGTGTCTTCATTCATACAGAGACAATGACACATGCTGACAGTTTTCAGTTTGATGTCAATAAGCTGCGGTACGATTTTTATTTCTAAACGTTCTGATGTTTCTGTCTCAAAGGTTCTGGATTCAGGGGATTCCTATTCTTCAGGAGCAGCTCTGCATATGCCACCAAAAGAAGCCACAGAGCAGAAGACAAAATGGAGCCATACAAATTCATCTGAGCATCTGGAGTGAGCGTTTAGCTGACACTGCTCTCTTACAGGAACGCAACTGTGTCATCAAATTTTCTTCAGAGACTGAGTTTTGTTCTCTTTTTTTAGAACTTAAAGTTTATTAAGTTTTACAGAGCAATTGCACAGCCATACATCAGCAGCAGTTACCACAAGTTTTTCCATATGGCAATGTGTGAAATAAATTAGTTACACTTTTCCAGGTAATCAAACAGTTTTTAAAACAGGATGTATGAAAGAATCTCACTGATATATTTTACTCTAATTCTGGTGTTTATTTCTCTCCTAAATGTGATCATATTGCTCTCTGCTCTTTTCTTTTTATATTTAACAATCGCGGTGGCACATGATAACTGAAGCCACTCTAAATATAGGCTTTACCAAAACCAAACGTTTTATGCAAATCATAATAATATAATTTAAAAAATGTGTCTCTTATTTTTAGTCTTCACATAGCAGGAGGCAAAGAGGTGAGTGAACAGCAACTTACTTACATGTGAATATTGTTTTTCACCCAACCACAAAGATGTAATAAATATGTGATCTGAATGTCTTAGTTTGTAATGTTTACAGATTTTCTTCCATAAATCTGTCACATTTTGAAGCTCTTGCTATTTTGTACTAAAGTGGAAACGATTGTAAATCTGACGTTAAATGACTTCTGATTGTTGTATTAGTTTTGAGGTTTCTAGTTTTAAAGATGAATTTAGTTTGACCAGTTGTAATTGTGTCAGTTTGAGACAGGCAGCCAACGTGGCCACCAGAGGGAGCCACACACACTCTTCTGTTTCTGCTGAGCAGTTTTTAGGGGAGAAGAAACTTTGTCTGCCAAAAATCCATCAAATTCACCTGGATATGTAAAATAACTGTTTAGCTGCTCTTGTGTAATTTTTATAAACTTTTACTTGTTTGATTTAATGTAGGATTTCGCGATGCATTTCCCCTGGATTGTCTTCAACAGCTTTAGGCCTAAATAAATTTAATATCTGGTAATCTTTCACTTTTTTACTTTTTTTAAGGGAGATTCATCAATTTTTGATTTAGTTTGTTTTATATTTTCTTTTTCTTTCATGAGTCATTTTGTTTCCCATATTATCAGCTTTCTTTTATTTTTATTTTTCAAACTTATTTACCTAAGTAAATACATATAATAAATATATGTTTGTTTAATGTTTTTGCTGAAAGCTGCTTGTTTGTGTCTCACCAATAAACTGCTTTTTAAAATATTCCCTAAAATTGTTTTATTGAGAGCTTATTGTATATTTTTATACTTTGACTGATCTTTTCACTGTCTAAAGAGATCTTCTGGATATCTGTGAGTTTTACCTGATCTTTGATGTGACTGATCTACTTTTTATCACAAGACTGTAAAACACGGAAATCCTTCTGCTGATGACGTCACCAGGTCCAAACAATCGATCTCCTCTCAACAAATCCATACTTTAGTGACTTCAAGCTGGATGACGCGGTGACCAGAGTTCATCTGACGCTGTTATTACCTGCAGCGGGGACAAAAGGTGAGTCATGCGCAAAGTCCAGCTGACCAATCAGCGCTCAGGATCGACTCCAGGAAACACAGTCCAGTCGTTTCCAGCTCAGCCCGAAGTGAAACAAACAGCTGCTGCTTCACCTGAGACAACCAGCTACTTCACCTGAGACAACAACCAGCTGCTTCACCTGAGACAACCTGCTGCTTCACCTAAGACTACAACCTGCTGCTTCACCTGAGACAACCTGCTGCTTCACCTGAGACAACCAGCTGCTTCACCTAAGACTACAACCTGCTGCTTCACCTGAGACAACCTGCTGCTTCACCTAAGACTACAACCTGCTGCTTCACCTGAGACAACCAGCTGCTTCACCTGAGACAACCAGCTGCTTCACCTGAGACATCTCTTGGCTCTGATCCGGACGGTGGCGCAGAGCAGCGATGGTTTGCGGAGGATTCATTTGCACCAAGAACGCGCTTTCTGCGCTCAACGTCGTTTATGTGGTGAGTCGCTCTGACTAATTCCGGAGTTGATCTTTGTTTGGAGGTGAAAGACTGGAAAATGGTAGCCAGGCTGTTGCCAGGTAACAGTACTTTGACATGCTGGGGTCAGCGCTGCGTTCAGGTTCCTGCGGGTTTTTATTCAGGCTGCTTCACTTGGCGTCTCACGACATAAACAACATGAAGAAAACTGACAAAAACGTAAACCCCCTGAGCTTCACACTCAGACTTTGTAACGTCTTTATGTGGTCAGGTCAGAGTTCATCACTTCTCCCAGATTTCATCCTGATTTCTGGTTTTCAGCTGTTTCACTGCAGCAGGTGTTTGACTGCAGCATTTCACTGCAGCAGCCTGTTTTACTGCAGCAGCCTGTTTTACTGCAGCAGGTGTTTGACTGCAGCATTTCACTGCAGCAGCCTGTTTTACTGCAGCAGCCTGTTTCACTGCAGCAGGTGTTTGACTGCAGCATTTCACTGCAGCAGCCTGTTTCACTGCAGCAGCTGTTTCACTGCAGCAGCTGTTTCACTGCAGCAGCCTGTTTTACTGCAGCAGGTGTTTGACTGCAGCATTTCACTGCAGCAGCCTGTTTTACTGCAGCAGCCTGTTTTACTGCAGCAGCCTGTTTCACTGCAGCAGGTGTTTGACTGCAGCATTTCACTGCAGCAGCCTGTTTTACTGCAGCAGCCTGTTTTACTGCAGCAGCCTGTTTCACTGCAGCAGGTGTTTGACTGCAGCATTTCACTGCAGCAGGTGTTTGACTGCAGCAGGTGTTTCACTGCAGCAGGTGTTTCACTGCAGCAGCCTGTTTCACTGCAGCAGCTGTTTCACTGCAGCAGCCTGTTTCACTGCAGCAGCCTGTTTTACTGCAGCAGCCTGTTTCACTGCAGCAGGTGTTTCACTGCAGCAGCCGTTTCACTGCAGCAGCCTGTTTTACTGCAGCAGCCTGTTTTACTGCAGCAGGTGTTTGACTGCAGCATTTCACTGCAGCAGGTGTTTGACTGCAGCAGCCGTTTCACTGCAGCAGCCTGTTTCACTGCAGCAGGTGTTTCACTGCAGCAGCCGTTTCACTGCAGCAGCCTGTTTCACTGCAGCAGCCTGTTTCACTGCAGCAGCCTGTTTCACTGCAGCAGCCTGTTTTACTGCAGCAGGTGTTTGACTGCAGCAGGTGTTTGACTGCAGCATTTCACTGCAGCAGGTGTTTGACTGCAGCAGGTGTTTCACTGCAGCAGCCTGTTTCACTGCAGCAGCTGTTTCACTGCAGCAGGTGTTTCACTGCAGCAGCCTGTTTCACTGCAGCAGGTGTTTGACTGCAGCAGGTGTTTGACTGCAGCAGGTGTTTCACTGCAGCAGCCGTTTCACTGCAGCAGGTGTTTCACTGCAGCAGGTGTTTCACTGCAGCAGGTGTTTGACTGCAGCAGGTGTTTCACTGCAGCAGCCTGTTTCACTGCAGCAGGTGTTTCACTGCAGCAGCCTGTTTCACTGCAGCAGCCTGTTTTACTGCAGCAGCCTGTTTTACTGCAGCAGGTGTTTGACTGCAGCATTTCACTGCAGCAGGTGTTTGACTGCAGCAGGTGTTTCACTGCAGCAGCCTGTTTCACTGCAGCAGCTGTTTCACTGCAGCAGGTGTTTCACTGCAGCAGCCTGTTTCACTGCAGCAGGTGTTTGACTGCAGCAGGTGTTTGACTGCAGCAGGTGTTTCACTGCAGCAGCCGTTTCACTGCAGCAGGTGTTTCACTGCAGCAGGTGTTTCACTGCAGCAGGTGTTTCACTGCAGCAGGTGTTTGACTGCAGCAGGTGTTTGACTGCAGCAGCCGTTTCACTGCAGCAGGTGTTTCACGGCAGCAGCCGTTTCACTGCAGCAGGTGTTTGACTGCAGCAGCCGTTTCACTGCAGCAGGTGTTTCACTGCAGCAGGTGTTTCACTGCAGCAGCCGTTTCACTGCAGCAGGTGTTTCACGGCAGCAGCCGTTTCACTGCAGCAGGTGTTTTACTGCAGCAGCCTGTTTTACTGCAGCAGGTGTTTCACTGCAGCAGCTGTGTGTGACTCCAGGTTGGCCAGTGACCTGCAGGTCGGATGAATCCAACTCATTTGTAAAGATTGGATACTTATTGGATTTGGTACCACATATTCAGGTGACCTGAGTTGCATTTGTGAAAATCTGATCTGTGTTCACAGTGAAAAGTTCCGATGCAGGTCACATGGGGGCAAAAACCACTTCAGGCTCCAGGGTGAGCAGAGCCTCAGTGGCACAGAGTGGGTGTTTTTGGGAAGGCAAAAGGATTGAACCGAGCCGTTTGGACCTGGGCTGTGAAAAGGCCAGCTGCAGGTCGCAGGAGGGAAAAGCGGCTTTGGGTTGCATCTGCTTGCTGTGTGTATGCAGCCTCTGACCAGGCCTGTTCCTTCCTCCTTATCGGGTTTCCTTTTCCACAGGAAACTCTTACAAGCTACAGAAGGCCAGTTTGCCACCAAAGTCACCCTTGGTTTGTCTACCTTTCCACCTGTTGTGTGTTTTTGGACAGGGTTATAAAGTGACATTCAGCTCAACACCAGCAGGTTAAAATGCATCAACTGGCCACATGTTGACTGAAGTCATGCTTTTTTATTTTTACAGCTCCATCTTGCAGGGCAGGTTTGTTAGGATGTGCAGTTTGAAAAATGGTCATTTAGGAGATGCAGATTATGTCCAAATGTTAGTTGGCTCAGTGAAGAAAGCATCTAAAAGCAAAAGGAAAAAGCAGATTATGTTTAAGTTTGCCAGGAAAACTTCTTGTGCTTTTTGTGTCAGCATCTCGTCTCAGTGTTTATGTTCAGGATGAACTTTGGCAAAATGCAACTTTTGTCTTCACATTTAGTGGAGCGTCAGAATGAAAGAAACTGCACCAAAGTTTTCTTAATATGCCACTAATAGTCTTATATTTGAATAAATATTTATACAGTTAAATAAATTTAAAATGTCAAGAGTTTTGCAGAGAGCAGCAGATGTCACGGTTGTTCAACTGAGAAGCGAAACCACAAAAAACAATCTGCGTTAAAAAGTTTGCTTATTCATCAGTAGTTTCACTGCATACAAACATTTAATTTAAGAGCCGAACAAATTAAAGTTAAGTGACCAGCAACATTTACGTCACACCTGGAGCAGCTCCACCTGAAGAATCAGCATCCTGTCCGATTCGGAGTTGATCTGCTGATCATTTGTCAGAACAAAGTGACCCACAAACAGCATGCGTCACAAACAAACCATTTACATTTGACTTTTTGTATGTAAGTAGGTTTTTTAGTCATTTTGTTTCTTCTGTATATAACAGGTGTCACCTGTATGAGGATAAATGTGTCTCAGTTTCGTCATTTAACAATAACATAACTGAAAAACATCAAGTCCTTCAGTCAAAGCCTGAAGTCACATTTTGGTATTTCTTTGAGGTTTGCCGCTTTGCGCTTTAACCGCAGGAAGATGCACCACGCAAACTTTCACTACTTGTGTATGAAACATGGCATTTTTCTGCGCATGCTGGCTTTGTGCCTGATTTCTGGCCTCCTGCTGCCCTCAGATGGTGAGTCTGCTGATGGTCGGGGTGGCTGCCTGGGGGAAATGGTTCGGCCTGGTCTCCAGCATCAGCTTGGTGGCGGCCGTCATCGGAGTGGGCGTCTTCCTGCTGCTGGTGGCCTTCGTGGGGCTTTGCGGCGCCTTGAAGCACCAGCAGGTTCTGCTCTTCTTCGTATCCTTTAAGACGGTTCCGGTCCACGGTTCATCTCATCACCGTTCAGGATGTCAGAGTTCCTCAACCTCCACCAGTACATGATGATCCTGTTTGTAGTGTTTGTGTTGCAGTTCTCCATCTCCTGCGCCTGCCTGGCTCTCAACTCGGAGCAGCAGGTTGGTCCACGTCTGCTGAACTCAATTATTCCAACATTTAGTTGGAAGATGATGATTTTTAGATTATTTTAAGGTTTTACACATGTGGTTTTACAAATAGCTGAAGTTTGTTCTCGTTGGTACAAACTAATCTGATTAATTGATGATTTAATTACTTTTGCTATTGAATTAATGAAGCAGAAACGTCTGAGGTTCACATGTTGCTGGTATTTTTGAATCCTTTGCTACAAATGATCCAATGATCACTAAACAAATGCTGCTGCTGCATTTCAGACAAGATATTTTTCTTCTTTTAAAAACAGTTATTTGTTGTTTATCTATTAATGTATAAAAATGGCAAAATGACAAACCTGCAGAATGTACCAGTTTGGTTTTATGTGATTTAATCTTCAGAATAAGATTGATTGATATATTCATGTCCGTCTGTGTGAATTTCCAGAACCAGCTGCTGGAGGTGGGCTGGAACAAGTCCGAGGCGACCCGGGAAGACGTGGAGAGAACTCTGGACTGCTGCGGCTTCTCTTCCGTTAACCAAAGCAGCTCCTGCCCCGCTGTGAGTCCAACCTCTTTCTCCTTCCTCCTGCCTGCTGGAACGCCATGCGTTTTCTCTGACTCTGTCCTGCCGCCGTTCAGCGATGCTTCGCCACCCGGAGTCCTGCAGCAGCTGCTCACTGATCCTGCAGCAGTACGCCGGCGAGGTGCTGCGCTTCGGGCGGCATCGGCCTCTTCTTCAGCTTCACCGAGGTCAGTCAGTCTGTCGGCCGATCGATGCGCCCGCAGGCTCGATGCCTCCAGTCGGGTGAAGCTCACGGACATTAAAATCTCTTCCTGTTTGTTCCAGATTCTTGGCGTGTGGTTGACCCATAAGTACAGGAACCTGAAGGACCCTCGATCGAACCCCGGAGCCTTTCTGTAGCCGCTCTGACCCCAGTGACCCCAACATGCACTGCTGCGATTCCTGTGGCTCTGTCTGTGGAAATGTTTGTCTGAATGTGCCTTTAATTTGATTCACTGCAGCGTCTGTTGCGTCCGTCTGACCGCTGTGTGCGGCGTCTCTGCTTTTCTGTCACCATCAGTCTCTGTTGAAGCTCATCGTTGTTTTTCTGTTGGACTTTAAAGTGGAAATGAAGTTCGATGCACACCGACCCTTTGAGTTGAAAAGAAAATGAATTCCTTTCAAAGCAGTGAAATCAATTTTCTCTGCAGGTTTTTAAAGTGATTTGTTGTTTAAAACTGAAGGAATAAATGAAGAATAAAGATGAGTTTGTTTCTTTACTTCTGGAAGCTTTAAGGCTGCTGAAGGTTCTCAGTTTGCCTCTGTTGTCGTTAATTGGGGTAAATTGTATTTGATTAAATATTTATGTTGGTCTTTTTTCCAGTTTAATTTGATGACATTTTCGCCTCTCAAACGGAGAAATGAAACAAATGAGCTCAGATTTCTGGTAAGTGAACTTTTAATAAAATAAAACCAAAGCAAATATTTTTGGATCCCAAACTGGGGATTGTGATCATTGGGTGATGAAAATCCAGAACCGATAAACTGCTTTCCTCTCGTCCCTCAATGTCAGTGGATAAAATATTATTTTTGACAAGCGTAACTTGAATATTTCTCAAAGTCTGATTCTCTTGCATAAAGGGCTGAAGCAGCAGCAGCATTCAGCTCCACCTTTCAGAAATCACCATGGAGGCCGAGACCCCGCTCTGGTTCTGTTTGCTCCATTCGGTCTCGCCGGGCCTCGAGCTGGACTGCAGTTTTCCAGGGATCTGATCTGAGATCAGCTTCAACTGGTTCTACCAGGAAGTGTAAACTTTAAACACTCCTTCTGCAAACAGCCGGACGGGCCGGATGGGCGGGTCGGATGGATGGGCGGGCCGGACGCGTCGTCACATGACATCCAACATGCTGAGTTCTCTGAGGTTTGTGGAGCTTCTCTTCAGGAGTTTGTACTTTTTCTGTCCATCCCCACAAAACCTGTTCAGCTGCTGTCTCCTTCCTCTTCTTGATGCTTTTTGGCAGAATCTGTGTGACTTTATCCGCAATATAGAAGCAAAATTTATGTTTTTATGGAAACGTCTTATTTGGCCTCACCAGTGAATGGATGCTTAACAAGTCCGAGTTTCTCATTAAACCTTTATTAGTGTCTAAATATGGTTTTTATTGTTCCAAATGCTCTGACAGGAAGCCATGCTTGAATGGATTTTAAAATGAAGTTAAGTTTTATATCCAGAATATGAAAAAAAGGCTCCTAAGAGTAACTAATAATTAATAATTAAAGTTGTACTGCTTTTAATGAATGTACTGTTGCAAACTTACAGTAGCATTTATATTTTTTTCTTGAGGCATCAAATGTTTCACTCCAAGAAGCTCATCATGTCTGGTTTTATGACACTGGGTCGGGTCGGGTCGCATTCCTGCAGCCGAGCAGGATGTTGACTCCTGGGCGGTCCAACCGGTTCACCAAGCCGGACTCGGATCAGCTGCTGCGTTTCCTCATAAAACTAAACATGCAAAAGCAAACTTACACCAAATGTTCACCTCTGAAATATTTCCTAATAATCCCTTATTTTACATAAATTACATATATTTTTTATCTCTATTTTGTTTTAGAGTTTTTGCCACATTTAGTGACAAGTTTTCTAATATAAATTTAAAACTTGTAAAAAATAAAAATGTGGGGCTGTTTTTTAAAATCTTAAAATCGGACGAGTTTTCTAAAGTTGACAAAATGTAATTTTTTTTAAATAAAATATAAATAAGTCTGAATAATTTAAAGGATCAGTGACACATCTTGACTTAATGTTTCTCCCCAACAGCATTAATAGAATCATAAACTAAGTTCTAAATATAAAGAAGAAAACACAGTGGTCTATTTAAATGAAGGATTTTATTCGGTTTTCTGTACATTCATGTACCAAACAGCATCACATTAAAGTCATCGTGTTTGAAGATGTTAAGAAAAAACTAATCAGATATACGCTGATGATTCGGGTCCCTAAAAGCAACAGCAGCTCAAGGATCCAAACAGAGGAATAAGAAGTGTGTCAACGTGTGTTTAATGAAGGCCGATTTCTCTGCTAGAGTTGGAGCACGAAGCAATAAATAGAAGAAGTTGGTAGTTATGTTAGAGGATTCTCAGAATGTTTCTAGTTGATTAGTGGAGGATTGAAAAAATAACTCCGTTAGTTACATTCTTTAGTCGACGTTCTGCACAAACTCCATCCTGGACTGAACTGAGTTGATTTAGTTTTATTCCTTCAAAGAAACTGAAGATTTTTTCATCTTGTTGTTGAAATAATACAAAAATAAAAACCACCAGGAACTGGCATAAATTCATTGTTTCTATTCATGTTCAGGAAATTCAGAAAATCATTTATTCAACATTTCTTATCAAATAATTTGCTGTCAAATTATGCAATGTACTGTTTCACCACAAGAGGGCACTAAAGTGTAGCTTTACAAGTTTCTGGTTTGCTGTTGTTCTTCCTGCTTCCCACTGAGTTTGTTATAATCAGTAGTTCTACGGCTCTAAACCGACTAAAAGCGTAAAGAACTCTGGATCTACAGCAGCTGGAGCCGATCCGTTTTATCCTGAAACTTCCCAACAGATTTCCTGAAATAAATACTGGAATTTGCCTCTCGTGCTTTCGGACCAACAGAGAAGAAAAACGCTGCAACTTCTGCACACGGATGTGCAACGTGACAGAAACCAGTTGATCATGATTCCTGAGTCGAGTTTGTTGAAAGCGGATGTTAACGGCGCCGTCTGCCTCTCTGTTGGCCGGAAAGCAGACCCATCAGAACCCGGCTCCTCCTGGAGTCCAGCAGCTCTCTGGGGGTAAAGCGACAGCTGCTGGTTGATCCACAGAAACCAAAAGGAAATGCAAACGAAGGGCTTTAATGCTGCAGGGAGGCAGTTAGGAATCAGGAGAGAAAGCTCTGTGTGCGTTGGGGAACTGCTGCGAGTTGAAGTCTGGGTCTTCTCTGACCCGCTTCTTCACGTCTGCTTTCACCTGAGGGGGAGAGAAAACATCACGACGCTCAGCAGCTCAGAGGCAACATGTTCAGAGTCAAACCATTTGACTTGAGTCAGATTTTGTTCATAAGGAGCAACACACAATCCACTCCCCAACATTCAGACTGCAGACAGAAAATCCCCCAAAATCCACCAAACCACACGTGAATTTAGAGTAAACAAACATGGCTGACAATTTAGAGGTAATGGCGACAGTCTGAGTCCTCAGCCATGAAAGACGTAGCAAAAGGAAAAGGTGTTGGGTGGAGGAGGAGGCGGTGAGGAGTGGCTCTGTACCATATGGAGCAGTTCTGGGTTTTTATTCACTTTGCTTACATTGTTTAGATGTTTCTGTTTATTTAGCTTCACCGGTTAATTTAACGTTTTTGCTGTTTTGATGTCATGTTTGCAGTCATGTGGTTAGAGTCGTGTCAGGCTGTGGATCACCGGCGACATTCATTTCAGTCCAACTCCTGTTTGTCTCGGTTCTGATCCTCCTCACATGAAATGCTGAACAAACATTGTTGCCACATATCAACTAAACAATCTGATCTGCAGCGGACTTTTGGTTGCCATGTCAGCTGTTTTTGGGATTCCCCTCCATGTTTACATCACCGCGTTTTCTGATTGGTTGTCGCTTTAGCAGGCTGTGCTCTCATTGGTCAACAGGGAACAACAACACACTGCGATGTCGGGCCAAAACCGACCCACATGCTGAATATCCCTGATTTTATACTGGAGCGTCCAAGCAGCTCGCTCTACACACACACACACACACACACACACACACACACACACACACACACACACACACACACACACACACACACACACACACACACACACACACACACACAGTGGACTGAACACACACACACACACACACACACACACACACACACACACACACACACACACAGTGGACTGAACACACACGCGGCAGGATGATGGCTGACGATGCTCTGATATTCAAGGCGTTCTAAGGTTGCTGAGCTATTGGCTGATTGGCTTTTCTTAAGTAAAACAATATCAAAGAATTATTGAAAGTATGATTTTATAAAAGTTTAAGCTGACAAAATATTTTTGTGCATTTTGAACTGATTTAAAATTCCCAGGACTTCCCTACAGACTCTGCTGAGGAGAAGCAAACAGCGAAGAAGTTCTTTCACTTCCTGTTGAGTCCGTCCTGACCTGCTCTGAGTAAGCCTCCTTCACTTCCTGCGCCTCCAGGTCCGCCTGCAGCTGCTCCGGGGAGCTGATGGGCCGGACGCCGGCGCTCCTGGCCGCCTGGCCCACCGCGTCGGACAGGGAGAGCAGGCTGCCGCCGCCCTGGCCCGTCTGCACACAAACACAGCGTGCTTTAAGGAGAACCGACACACGGCGGCCGACGGCTCCGGCCGGTCCCAGTACCTTCCTGCGTTTGGCCGGCATCCCGTGCAGGTAGGCGTCGGATAACGGCGGCTGAGCCTTCATCTTCCTCTGAGTCATCATGTCGCAGCGGATGATGGGAACCCACTCCTGCAAGACGTCATTACTGCCTTCAGTCGGCTCTGACTGGGAAACCAGTTCCTGAGTTCTAGCAAGTTTTATTTTTCAGTCAACAAATGAAACATCCAGTGAATCATTTGGACTTTTTCTCACTGAGCGTTGAGTTTAGGTGTTACTGAACAGCTTCATAAACAGATAAATGATCATCGGATTCTCAGTGGCATTCAACAGAACTAACAGTACCAGGTTCTGATTCAGACGGAGGAACAGCAGCATTGGACCACAAAGGAGAGGAAGAGTGATGAAGAGGAGTGATCCTACCGGAGGGACGGCTGCCGCCCAGGTCTCCGCCTCCTCGCTGCCGCCCTCAGCTCCTGCCGCCGCCACGTCGCCCCCCAACGGCGCGGCTCCCCCCGACGCTCCCAGGTCTCCAGGCAACGCTCTGGTCTCCCTCGACGACGCAGCGGGGGTGTCGTGGGACACGGACATGGCTTCCTCGGCGGTGGTGGCAGCTGCGGGTGACAGAGTGTCTGCGATCTTGGGAGGAGGACAGAGACATGAGAGACGAGGCGTGAGAGACGAGGACGGCGTGTGGACGGCGTGTGGACGGCGTGTGGACGGCGTGCGGACGGCGTGTGGACGGCGTGTGGACGGCGTGTGGACGGCGTGCGGACGCAGAAACACGTCGGACTCACCGTGGCGCTCTGAGCCTCCTGCTCGCCGCCCGCCGAGCTCCGGTCCCTCTGTGGAAAAAAACCATC